AAGGGGCGAAAGAAATACTATTGACGCTACCATTGTGTTAAATCTTGAAGCATCTGTATGAGGTACCAAGATGACCATGTCGGTGTCTTTCGGAATATCCGCGACCTTGATACAGTTTTCCGACGGGTCAAATCTCCCAACTATTGTTGGTTCGGGTCAGTCCTAGTACTTGATACCATCGGAAGTCTAGCTCGCTGCTAACCTGGGTCCTGTACCTGGGAATTGGTGTACTCAAACTTAACTCCACCAGGTGCTGATAATTTAATAGTCGCCATGGATATATCATTGCGCCCACTAGACAACACCAATGACATTTTGGAGATTGCTCCAAGATCAACTGATGCGAGGTGGCGTTATGAGCACGCATGAGGAAGAAATACCGAGCTCCTACCCTCATGCGATTGATGTAATTGGACGTCTAGCCCTCTTGAGTCGTGTGGGAGTCGCACTAATGAGACCATTGTTCCCTTCACGGGGGCAGAAGCCGCTGATTGCTTGTGGTTCCACTGGAACCGAAGTCGAGACATCTGTATCTCGCTATTTTCAACGACATAAACACCGGAACATGCCGTCTATCAAGTTCGCGGCTTAATAGTATCGGAGCTATGATCCGAAGAATGACCTACCGCGCAGCTCAAGGTCATGTAATTATCTCCGGGAAAGAGCTTGTCGACTTGCGCTTCAAACTTCAAGCGATTTCCATCTCGTCCCGTGAGCGTTACGCAAACTTCGTCGATAACGACATCCTGGGAATAATTAACAATAACTAAGATGCAGGCGTCGTCGAATTCATACACATGGTAATCGGTTCTGAATGGTCACTTTCAGGGAAAGACGATCTTCCTTTTCGCTAGAGTTGGCATCGCCAGCGACGTTGATTGATATGACGGGATGATCAAGGTGGACGAGATCTGGAATATCCTGATCAATAACCCATATACAACAGGGAGAAACCAATGACCCGAATCAAGTTTCTCAGCCGCCTCTCGGAGACTTTGTACAAGTGCAGCGAGGTATTCCGAAATATCTTCATCAGTCATGACTAGCTCCGTACTGCCATCATTCACGTATGTTTTGAGGAACGCAAGTAGGATGTGGATCCACTCGCAGTCGCGAGGTCTTTTTAATGCGGCGTGCATTTCAATCGCGCGCGAGAGCATCAACGACTCCAAAGACGTCCACTGATGTGGGGCATAATGTGCTGGAAGAGATGAGAATATCGTGAGTGCATTGGAAAGCTTTCCGCGGTAACTGCAGTATACAAGCACTCAGTGTCCGCAGCAATTATGCAACATTCTAAACCTACGCGTCAAGAGCGGCGAGGCTGCCGTGTATTTTGAGTGCAAATTTTCTTCTCCCAGCTTTCACATACATGTCGATGGCACGGTTCGAAATGGTGGTGTACAAATCGTAGAAGGTTTCCTTGTCGTTGAGAACAGATATAATCTCGCGCTTACTGATGCAGTAGTCTGGGTACTCATCCTCAGACATATTGGGCAAATCTGCAGCGACCGCTGGAGCGGGTATCGCCAAGGAGAATGGTGGTATCGAGGGTACAAACCCTTGTCTAATTCCAAGTATGTCCAGCTACGTTTTGCTCAGATCGTGCTACAAATCCTCCAGTACGAATACACACCTGACTTTTTGCGAGTTCAACCAATTCTCCTTTTTTCGCGTTGTAGCGTACCAACGACACGGCATCCATTTCTGGCCATAGAGATTGCCATGCATCGCATTGGTCCAGAACGCTAAGAGCAGAGGAGAATGTCCAAGACTCAATGAAGTGTTCAGGAAGTGAAGACTACAAAATCTCATGAGTATGCTGATACCAAATACATCGGTACATGTCTGACCTCGACTTCCCTCAAGCGTCTCCCGAATGTATTCAAAAATGTGACCGCCTTCCAACATATCTCCGCAGGTTGGCGTAACTTGCTTAGTAACGTTGATTGTCTTGAGAGGAGATACACCCGCAAGTCGAAAACCGAGATTGTGTTCGCAAGAATGAGGTCACGATAAGGCTTCTTCGACGTGGATAACAATGGCATCGAGTCGTCGTTTGGTATTAGATGAATGAGACTTCCAAACCATGACATATTCTTCTCCCGCAGTACTTGCATGAAAGCAGCTTCGAGTTCGTTGTATTGATATAGTGCATCTTCGCAAAGATTTATTCCCTCATACGAGGTCGCCAGACTTTCCTGGAGCAAACGTTAATTTGAAAAGATAGCAGAACAAATGCTCGTAAGCTTACCTTCAGAATAAAATACGTGCAGAAGTTCCACCCTGGCATGTGACGCTGGCCTTCGGACCGCTTCAATTCCTCTTCTCTTGACATTATAGCATTATCGAGGGCAGAAAGTAGTCCATCCTTGATCTTGCCTATGAGGTCGGCCCAAACAGCAGGACTCTGCTCGCCAGCAGACCAAGCAAGCTGCACGCACCTATGAGGTATTATGTATAGACAACCCACAGACGAAATTAACATTTGGCGTTACCTGTCCCGCTTATCGACATTAAAATCTGCTTTGATCTTGTCCAATACCGAGCCCTTCATGGTGAAGAACTTCCGGTCAACTACTTTCGTGTCTGGACGCACGACATGCACGATGAGCCATTCCTGATTCTTTCTCGGCAAGATGGACTGCTGCCAGTCTTTGATCTGCTTCTTGACAGTTGCCCTGTATGCTTCGTTATCCTATACATGCGTGTAAATAGTAATTCAAAGCCAAGTTCAAATACACTGCGCACTTACTTCACATGTGACTATATACAGATTCAAGAGAGGTCTCTCGAGGAGGGTGAGGGGAACCTGAGATGCAAGCTCGTCTCGCAGGGAGTCAAGAGCAACCAAGGTCACCTCGAGTTCTTGAACGGTGCGAATACTGGGTCGGGAGGCAGACCTCCAGTGGATACTGCGCAACGGTAATTGTGAGCGTAAGGCTCCAATCACTTGCTTGCAGCTATCAGAGGGCTGGGAAGGAGGCGCGGCGAACGTCACAAGAACATGCTGGCTTGACATAGCGAACTACTGTCGTGTACATACCCGATGAGTCACCGATTCAGCTTGCCGACTCGTGGGAAATCTATACCTTAGTCTTCATGGAATCACGGTCAACACCAGACGAAGCTGGCCCGTCCACCACAAAAACCTTCAGGGATCTTGGCTTAATCGACCCTCTTCTTGAGGCACTTGATCAAATCAACTTCAAAACGCCAACTGAAATTCAACAACAGGCTCTTCCGTATGCTCTCGAGGGTCGTGATATCATAGGTGTTGCAGAAACGGGATCAGGGAAAACCGCCGCATTTGCTCTCCCCATCCTACAGAAATTATGGGAAGAACCAAAAGGGCTCTTTGCTTGCGTCCTCGCGCCTACACGTGAGCTTGCATACCAGATATCACAGCAATTCGAGTCTCTCGGAGCAGCCATGGGAGTCCGCTGCTTAGTTTTGATTCGGAGGGATGGATAAAATGCCCCAGGCCGTCGCCCTTGCGAAGCGGCCGCACATCATTGTTGCAACGCCAGGTCGTTTGAATGACCATCTGCAAAGCACCAAAGGGTTCAGTCTAAGACATCTCAAATTTTTGGTAGGTACTGTCATCTTCAATGTGCTCATCGGCTTACTGTCACGCTATGAAGGTCATGGACGAAGCTGATCGCCTCTTGGACATGGACTTTGGTGCAGATATCGACCAAATACTCAAGGTGATACCCAAAGAGCGGACCACCTACCTCTTCTCTGCGACAATGACTACGAAGGTCGCAAAGCTGCAACGGGCCAGTTTATCAAACCCTGTACGAGTAGAAGTCTCGTCAAAGTGAGTTGTTCGCTTCTTGTCTTCTCCCTTGTCTGATTGATGTACGGTCGAAGATATCAGACTGTGTCAACCCTGCTACAATACTATCTCTTTGTTCCATTAATACATAAAGATGTCCACTTAACCTATCTGGCAAACGAGCTTGCTTCAAACTCCGTAATTGTCTTCACTAGGACAGTACACGATGCTCAAAGGTACGGATACAGGACAGGATTTTCATATCGCTCATGCCCGCTCGTACTACAGGTTATCTATCATCCTTCGTACTCTCGGATTCCCGGCTGTACCTCTTCATGGTCAACTTAGCCAGAGTCAGCGCTTAGGCGCGCTCAATAAGTTCAAAACAGGTGGTCGACAAGTGCTAGTGGCAACTGACGTCGCCAGTCGGTACGTGACCCCCTGATATAACGTGTCCTTCGTTCAGCTAACCAGCGGCACAGTGGTCTTGATATACCTTCTGTGGACGTAGTCATCAACTTTGACATCCCTACGCATTCGAAAGATTACATCCATCGAGTCGGACGCACAGCCCGTGCAGGGCGTGCAGGAAAGTCGATAACGATAGTCACGCAATACGACGTCGAGCTACTCCAACGCATCGAGAAGGTTATTGGGAAGAAGCTTGAGTTACTCCCTACCAGCAAGGAAGAGGTTATGCTCCTAAAAGAGCGTGTGAATGAAGCCGGTCGGTTGGCTGTGAATGAGCTGAAGGAAAAGGCGAGATCAAACGGAGGTAAGAAGCGTAGACGAGATGAAGGTGGAGGGCGGAATACGAGGGATGAGAGAGATCGGGATGATGATGTCGTCGAGGCAGGGTTGCCTAAGACAAAAAAACACAAAGGCCGTCGGTAGGGATAAATGATGTTGTGCATCTTCGTTCCATGACCAAGTAGTGAACGCTACTGATCATCGAGATACGGGAGAGGCGCTAAACATCGTGCCCCATGGCTGAGTTGGTCACAGCGTCCGACTGTTACCCAAGTTGCATCGGAAGGTCGTGAGTTCGAGCCTCACTGGGGCAGTTGCTTTTGCCTGCTTTTTGAAGAGTTTTGTCTAGATGATGAGTCCCTGTTGTTTTGCCAGTGCGAAAATGTTACAGTGTAGTAAATGAGTGGAAGGTGTATATTTTGTGGGGACCTTAAAACACATTTGGAGTTTTTTGGGGGCAAAAAAACTTCTGCCCCAGTGAGGCTCGAACTCACGACCTTCCGATGGTAGTTTGCATAACAGTCGGACGCTGTGACCAACTCAGCCATGGGGCATCTGATAATTCATTTTGGATGGCTCGTAAAAAGGATATGGCTGCCAGTGACAGATATGGCAACCCTGCAAGCTAGCTTACAACCATTCAAGGAGCCCTACTATCATTGCGTTAGCGCATGCAGAAAGAGTAAATCATATTCACGAAAAACAAGTTACTTGTAAGATCGAAGTGTGTCGGGAAACAATCATGGTTATGACCAAATGTTAAGCGGGCGCAGTTCCACGGCTGAAAATGTGGCGCAAAAAAGCGTCACCTGTGCGATTCGAACACACGCGGGCAAAGCCCAACCGCTAGTGCTGTTAGCAGGCGATCCCGTTAACCACTCCGGCAAAGTGACTTACGTATCACAGCGGTACGTACATTCTATATGACGACTTGAAGTGAACGTTTAAGATCATACTTGAACATCATCGGGCTGCAGAGTTGAATCATGCCCCACACTACCGGGATCTTACACAAATTCGTTCATATACTGAACCAATCTATCCACCTGATCTTCCGTTATGGCGTTGTACAGGGAAATGCGAATGCCTCCAACTGATCTACCATGCATTCTTAGCATGCCATTAGCTGATGCGATGAGGTAGGAAATACTTACCGATGGCCTTTGATCCCTTTCATTCCTCGCTGCTCAGCGCCTGACATGAACTGTTTCAGTCTATCTTCTCCGCCAACTACGTCAAAGACGATATTCATCTTGCTGCCTGAGCCCTGTGGCACCTTGCCTTTGAAAACACCGCGAGCTTCCCCTCCTTCCAGGGCGGCGTATACTTTCGAAGCCTTTTTGGCAGTAAATTCAGCATAATAGTGGAGTGTCTTCTCCTTCGAACGACCGTAGTGCTCCCCCATCTTCAACATCCGCCTAAGCACCAGACCTGTGATATAAATCGATAGGACCGGAGGTGTGTTATACAAGCTGCGACTGTCAACCAGAGCCTTGTATGATAAGCACAAAGGAATGCTGTTATCCAATACGTTTGACCATTCGTCTCTGACGATGATGATCGTCAGTCCGGCCGGTCCGATGTTCTTTTGCGCTCCGGCATAAATGACTGCATGCCTCTCGATGCATGGGATAGGACGGGACATGAAAGCGGAGGAATAATCTGCAACGAGCGGAGCGTCATCAGGGAGGCTGTCGAACGGGAATGAGGTGGAGCTCTGTAGGTGATCATCGAATTCAACGCCATCGACGGTTTCGTTGGCGCAATAGTAAATAAGAGCTGGATCATGCGAGAAATTGTTTCGGTAGCCTGTCGCGATCGGGGATGTGATTGTAGGTCTTCTTTCCGTCCTCCGAAATGGTTTGTGCATTGGCAACGACGTTGATAGCCCCTAACCCAAGCCTCTTCGCTTCTTTCATCGCCTTTTCACTCCAAGAGCCCGTGACCACATAATCCATGGCGGGTTTTTCAACCGTGCCGGCGCGACTTCGATATCTGGCAAGCATGTTCAATACCACCGCAGAGAACTGGGCTGTTCCTCCTCCCTGGGCGAAGAGAACCTTGTAGTTCTGAGGAAGCTGGAGAAGTATCCTGACGTTCTCCTCGACCTCCCGAATGAATCTGTCGAAATCGGCTGAACGGTGCGATATCTCTGCGATACCAATGCCAGTATTTTGAAAGTTCAGCAAGCCTTCGCAGGCTTCTGCGAGGACTTCTTCTGGCAAAGCCGAAGGCCCTGCACCAAAGTTAATCACTCGATCGGACATCGAAGAGAACGCGGTGAGATGCAGAGGCGTGCTTTAGGACGACTCGAAGGTGTGAATCTGCAAACCTAAAAAACTTTGAACGGGGAGTGATCGAGACTCCAGAGTCAGCTAGAAATTCGACGCCTTTCGGAGGAGGAAGCAAGCCGATCGATGTGAATTAGCATCACGGTACTAATAATTAATTATTTAAATAAACCATTTTTTGGCCGGGCTTGGACCGGAGAGATACATATCACATTCAAATTTTAACTGATCATGTCGAAGAAAAAAATCAGCATGTAACTAGACCACGTAGCACTCAGGCCGGTGGAGCTTGGATTGGTAGCCAAGCAGTCTTCTGCAATCAACAGCTTCCCAGATTGTGACTCGGAGGTACACATGTCCGTATATATGTCCTTGGTCCTATACCATCACTTCTGTTCAACGAAATTTCTGCATACACTCAGCAAATCCTAGGATATACATTAACAATGTCCCTCCAAGTCCGAATTATGCGGGAAACAAAAGCCAAGGAATAACGGCTATGCATGATGCTGGTGGAAAACTAAAAGAAATAAAAAACATTGAACACAATGCTTTGGGCATAATATCGTGTGAATGATCCAAATAACAGGCTCGAGCGCTCATTGCTCGGTTGACTCTCGCCTTTCCTCTAGATATCCCTTAGAAGGGGCAGCGTCAATAAGCTCCATCTCGTCCGTATCGTGGCTTTCACGGAAGCGTTGAGCATCCTCCGTTGTTGAGGGGAGAACAGGCTCGTCGCGTGGAACACGAGGGGAATAAGGTCGATGCGACATAGGGGAGGCGAGTGAAGGGAAATATTGTCGATAGGCGAAGTATGCAACGGCGAGCCCTAAGATGGAGCCAGCGATGACGTCTTCCCAATGATCTGATATGCACTGATTTCAATGGCGGCGAATCAGAGAACGGTGAAAGCCTACGTCTGTAGTCCATCGTACGAGATATGGCTACGAGGGCTGCAGCAGGCCAACGGGGTCACGGATATCCATGCCTTATGCTACTAGACCGTTTAGTGAACATGTTCTTCGGGGTTACACTTACCGTATGGCCTCTAGTGTCAAACAAGTGCATCTTTCCCGCAAGATAGAAGGAAAGGAATCCCAAGCCCGCAAAAGACACTGCATGGATCATGTTCAGCTTTCGTGTGGGAACATGCATGGTAGGTAGACATACGGCTCGAGTGACCACTTGGGAAGCTACGCCATCCATCGAGCATAATGGACTGGTTTGTCTGTGTGCAAATGGCATCCGTCGATAGTCCATAGGTTGGGTCTTGAGAGTCGGATATCGGGATGCAACGAGAAAGGAGATCTAAAAATCATATATAACCTTTGTCATCGATACTTGGAACTTGAATCCAAACCTGGACGGGGACGACCAACAGTTATCTTGGAAAATTGTGTGATAGCCCCGGTGATGGCCAATCCAAGAATCACTAGAAAACGCTCATTTTAGTTTAACCTGTGTTATTTCAAGTAAAAGAAAGTAACGAACATCCAAGGGCACTGTTATGGTAGTCCCAAAAGGATCGGACGGTCAATAGGTTGACAATAAGTTGGATGGCCAAAGGAGCGACGAGGGCGAGAAAGTATAAAGCAATATCCTGGCCATTTTTGGTTCATGAAAGAGGTGATGTCAATGTTGAACCCCACTTACTGGAACACGTTCATGGACAGCATAACTATTTGTCGAAAGTCAACTCGAAATTTTTATGCCGTGATCGATACTTACGGGAAGCGGATCCTAGAGATAAGTGGTCGACAAAGCTGTCAGGCAATGTAACTTGGCAGCGACCTACGTGTCATCGTTGACAGAGAATCCTCTTCTGAATCCATGAACAGAATTCAAGGCAAAGAACACGACTCTGCATTGCAGGCGAAGATCAAGTATCAGGGCGGGTCCCGACCGCTGAATATCGTCAACTTACGCCAAGAGTATCGTCAAGATCCTACGCAGCCAGGTGGTTCAACGTCATGAAATTCTGTTAGTCATCACGGTAACCAGAACGCACCAGTCTGGAGCATAGGACCTGATGAGCTTGAGGCGTCTCTTGTTGTCGGTCGTCTTCGTCGTGGCATCGTTATGTGGTCCAAAGAACCTGCAATTTACTGAGGGGAACATGGTGTCCTCGTCTGAACGAGATGATCTCGTACAGCCTGGGAGGTTTAAATGCTGACTCGGAGGCCTCGAGGTCCTGTGATCCGAGACTCGAGCATTGCTGTGCAGTTTTGCCGTGTTTGTCCAACTGGTCGATCTCGGCTACGAACACAGCAGATTATTGCGTACCTGCTGCGTCGCTTGGCGACACGTGCACGGTGTGGTCCCAAATATTGCAAGAAAGGAGACATTAAAAAGTTATATTGACAAGCAGTAACTACATGCCACGATGCTTCCAGGTGCGAGTCGTGGCGACCGAAGTTGATGCCACAACTTGAATGCGATTCTTATGTAAACTGGGTTTCAAGTCTCTCGTTGATCCGTTCATTCACTCAAGCCTCAAACACGCTCCAGCACTGCCATTTGCCGTTCCAGGTCTAGCATGGCATCTGAATCTACTGTAGCCGAATGTCCATACGGCCCTTCGGAAAGCTTCGAATGGCGTCCAGGTATGATACCGCATGTCCTTGCTGCGGTCCATCAGCCTCACGGATCATGAACAGAGCATCAATCAGCCCTCGAGCACATTGCATCCTCTGACACTCTCGAACCCAAGTAAGCCCCCTCCAATGTACGATTGATCCAACTTGACCACCCCGTAGCACGGAATGGCAACTTCTTCGAGAGATGATCAAGTACAAGATAAGTCAGGTACGTCGCGATGTATTTTTGTTTCTCGCACATCCAGCTGATGTGCCATCTAGAACATTGCACTATTCCTTACGGATGATGGACAGCCTGAGGAACCTCTGAAGCCCGCAACGGGGTTGATTGACAGCTCAGGGAATTTGAGGTTGCCTCCATTTCCTCCTTGCAAGCCCGACGAAATGAACCCTCACGAAACACCCAAAGCTCGTTTTAATCAAAATGACGCAAATGAGATAAAGGACCTCATTTTTCGCCAACTTCACGGGTTTGAAGAGTGCGTTTGGACAATGTCACTCTGATCACCCGTTGACGACCACGATTCAGTAACCCGCCGTTCACTATCCAACGAGTGTGCGAGCTTTGTATATATCCAAAGCAACACTATAAGTTCATCGGGAAATATTTGCGTGCCGTCGAGAAATCGCTCCTCGTCACGTCGACTTGGGATGCATTCCCTGTAGAACTACCCCAGAACGGCTTCTCTATAGGTACATTCCCAGCTGCTCCATCAACGCAATCCATGTCGACCACACCAATGTTTTCACCTATTCCATTCTTACACGACGATGCAAGACGCTCTAAATCACACAGCCCTCCACCGTCCCCACTAGCACTGGGTCCAATGGAAGTCGGCGCTGGCGTAGAATCTCTTGATGAACCAATGCCACAGCGAGCAATAGGCCTGGTAGACGAACTCGACGATCCGAGTCCAGGACACATGAGTGATCATCCAATTCCACTCACATCTGTGACAACCATCGGGTCACGTCCATTCATGGAAACATTGGAGACCAGGTTCG